GGGGTTGTATATTTTTATTTAAGAATTTTGGGCCCTAATATCAAGAAGATGGCCCATTTAATTATTTAAAAGTCCATTACTATTATATGAGCCCAACAGTAATATGATTAATCATACTTTACATAAAACTTTAATCGTTTTACAATTGTTCGATAATAGGAACTTCAGTACATAGCTTTTGAAATTAAATTTGAAATTTCAAGGACGTTCGGTTGCGGTGTCACAGACGGCAAACCCAAATATCGCCCTTGATCCCCATCTGAAAAAACCCCCAAAATTTGTTTGCATGTAACTCTGGTCTGATCTGCTGTATTTGGGCTAAAATTGATTGAAAATTTCGAGAAACTGACAATCAGTCCCGATAATTCCTCGTAGTAATTTAAGATCTTCCTGACCGTATCACATTCACCCGGGGTGGATTTGAAGAATAAAAAACAATCATCAACAAAAAATAAATGTGATACCTTCGGTGCACCTCTACAAACCGCCACTCCATGTATATCCCCCGTGCCTTCGGCTCTCCTTAGCAAAGAGCTCAATCCTTCTGCGACTAGAATAAATAAATAAGGTGATAAAGGATCACCTTGCCTTGGCCCTCTCCCTGGAATTATCGTCCCCAAGCTTCGTTTGTCAAATTGAACAAAGTAATTGACCGAGGTTACGCACTCCATGACCATTCGTACCCATCTATCCTCAAAACTCATGCATTCCATAATTTCTTTTAAAAAAATCAGTTTACTCTGTCATAGGCCTTACTCATATCCCGTTTTAAAGCCACAAAACCTCCCTCAATATATAAGTCATGACGGTACTTAATAGTATCACGCAACTTCATCAAAAACCATTTCCAAGAAGCTATGTTATCAGAATCACAAATGCCGAAAGCCAAAGGAACAATGTGCCTATTTGCATCTTGACCACACGCGGTTAGCAATGTTCCTTTGTAGTAAGCCTTCATAAACGTGCCATCCATGATTAGCACATGTCTACAAAACTGCCAAGCATCAATCCACGCTGCAAGAGAAAAGAAAAATGATTGAAACGCGTCATCAGAGTTGGTTGTAGATCCAGGGTTAGATTGGTCAAGCATGTGAGCCATGGATGGTAAAAGTTGGTATGAAGCTGCATCTGATCCAAACTGCTTTTCCATAGCAGTTTTTTGCGTTTTCCAAGCTTTCTTGTAAGACATTGAAATTCCAAATTCCAAAGCCATATCATTGCGTAACTGCTTAGGAGTATACGGTTTTTCTGAAGCATCTAGGAATTTGTATGCAACCATATCTGCAATGGTATCTGTTGTAGCTTGCTTGTGATTACCTTGCATGTAGTCAACAGAACAAGTATGTTCAGGACAAAACCTGAAATGCATCACACAGAATACTGCCATCAAACAAACATGACATTTAAAACAAACATATGGCAATAATGTACAAATAAAGAAAGTCAAAGTAAGGAAATTTGTGAATACCTTCTAATCTGAAACATATTCACTCCAGATAATCTAACTGCGCGCACAGTCCACTTGCATTTTGGATCCATACAAATAACATAAAAGCATTTTTTATGTGAGTGTTCTATATTGAAAACTGTTATTGATTGCAAACATTTTCAAGTGGTGGATAAGAGCAGCCTTGTCTTTATAGGTGGCAAGACGAATCAGACAAGTAAGATGATGATGTGTAATGACCTCAACATTATGGTGAAGGGAAAAACTTTCAGAGGAAGACGATTTGGAACTAACAGAAGAAGACTTAGAAATTGAAGTTTCTGGAACATCAGAAAACTCAGATGATGAAACATGATCATCTGGCACAAGGTTTTGAACATCCTCATGATCAGAAACAACAATACCAGATTCAGTAAAAGGTTCAAATAAGGAAGAAGAAACAGTTGAATTATTACAATGAGGAACTGAGTTGTGAAGTAGCAAGGAAGCATCAACAACTTCATTAGTAGCAAACTCAATACAAAGAGGTAACTTCTCAAAATCAGTGTGAAGAACTTTGAGATGAAGATAAAATTTGAAGGTGTCTTCATCATGAATACAAACTGGAGGTGGACAACCATCAAAAATATAAGAAATTTTAAAAGATCGGTCTGGTTTGTAAAGATGCAAAATTTCAGTCATGCTTTGTATAAAACATGCATATGAAGCATTTGCACGGATTTGAATATCACACACATCCCTATGTGTAAAAGTGCAATTAGACAACCATATACCATCCAGTTTGACCATAAGCAGCAAAATTGTATCCATCTGAAGATGTGATTATCCAAAAATGAAAAAGTAACATGTAAGCAGGAATGTAAGAACAAACAAGGCATAAGCATTTTACAACATAAAAACACTAGATGGCATTAACAGTAAACATGATGGCAATAGTGACAACCATACATGTAACATAAGAGTGGAAGTATAAAAAAAATAGAAACACTAAACAATGAAAATAATGAAATAACGAATCATGTGTTTAATTTGGGGTCCACAAACGAAAATCAAATACGAATTTGTATTCTCAAATACATAAATAACAGCAACAGATTTCGGTAAACACAATTCAACAATAAAGCAAAAGTATAAACAATGAAGGATTGATCAAGTAGAAGCGCAGATGAAGTTATTGATGAAGTAAAACATGAATTGAATTGTGATTTTCTATACTTAAATACGTAAATAAAAACAACGAAAATCTGGAAAATAAATCAAAATTTCATGCAAACATAAATTGATCAAGGATTGAAGAAGACTATTAAGAATTTGTCGAAATTTGATTTGAACTTACCACAGAGCTTCAAATTCAATAGACGATCTTCAATTGATGTGCGACAATGAAAGGAAACGAGCGAGGTGATGAGAAGAAAGAACGTCAGTTGAAGGTCGTTAAAGAATAACGAACAAGGATATGGAACGCAAGTCGAAGACAGAGCAGCTACGGGAAAGGTTTAATTGCGTGCAGGGGTATTTTAGGAATAGGCAACGGTGAGTCATTAAAACAGTCCTATTTAGGGAATAAATTAGGGGTTAGTCCTATTTAGGAACTTTCCTATTATTTTAATCCTATTTAGGGCAAATACTTGTAAAGATATTTAACTTGTTATGAGTAAAAAAATTACATTTTGAAATTTTACTTGAGTCAAATTATATACTACGTATTATTCATATTTAGCATTTTAGTAAATATTTTTTTTCCCTAAAATATTATGGAGCATTAATTATGTGTCTTTTCGTTTTTAGTGAGTGGCATACCCAAACAAATGCAATTTTAATGCATTAGTATAAATATTATTTTCTTTTTAATGAGTGTCATATCCAAACAAATGCAATTTTTAACAATTTTTTATTGTTGCAATGTATATATAAAGGTTTCGTACCTTTTGTAAATTGTAATATTCCATCCATTTGCCTGCATACATTTATCATTTCAACTTTCAATAAGAATGAAAATTTTACTTTTGGATGCAGAAAATTAAAAAACTTTTCGTACTTCGAGAATTGATGCTAGTGGAATTGTGTAAATGCTTGACCTTTTGTATGCAAAAAATTAAAAAACTTTTCGTACTAATTTTATTGCTCTGCTAAAAATTACATTAAGCGAAACTAATGTGTGTGTGAAATTAAGTGATATCAACAAATATTTTAGTACAGAAAATAATAAAATATATCGATACTTAAGCAACTTCATACAAATCATGCATTTTCCATTCATATAATATACTCCGAACGTACTAATTCTATTTCAATTAAGTAAATCTGATATGAGTAAAAATATTACCGGGGTATCTTTGTAAGAATAATTTCCTAATTTTTTATTTCTGGCAACAACAAAGAATTGAGCTTGATAAGAAAAAGGTTGGGCTGAAATTCCTGAAACATAATTATTTAATGTATCAGTGAATTGTATGCCAATGACCCAGTCGAATTCAGATAATACGCATAGAAACACAAACTGACATTTTGTCGAATTCAAAAACAACCTAGAGAAAATAAAAGACCATAAAAAGCGTATACATGAATGTCATTCTTTCCTACATGATTAGATAATTTAAGAGCCCGTTTGAGTCCCCAATTAACCCAAAGAACAACTTCAATGCCTATATGCAAATGGTAAAACTTTTGATCATGTCTAGTTTAATTAATCAAGTGTAGGATGCTATAGTGGGGGCTGAAGATGCCTGAAAAGGTTAGGGTTGTATTAGTATTAGCACCTCTGTTTAATCATGACCTCAAAAGGAAGCATTTTGATTAAGCAAACAAAGAAGTGAATAATTTAGACCACTATAATTTTAACCTGTATACGGCCATTATATCATATAGAAACTGTGTCTCATTGCAAGTTGCAACCAAGCTTTTTATTGCTTGAAGTTTGTGATGCACTTGAAACCTTTAAGATATAGCGTGTGAAACAAACATAACAGATACCTGAATGGCTGGATCTCATCTAAATTCCAGTGTTGTTAAGATCATTGAAGCGTGAAGTTGCCAAAGTATCTAAAGGTTCTCTCCATCTATCACTATCACTGACGTCCGACTGAGAAACTACGGGAACCATAACTTTTTATTTTCAAAAGTAAAACCATAGTTGCTCCTTATAGATGTTGGGAAAGCAAAACAAGACCGAAAAGTTGGCGCTCATAAACATTACCCTTGCAGATTGGACAAGGGGCTAGCCTCCATCTGATAAACTGCGTATCAAAACAATCTGCAGAACTAGAAAGCACATTACAAGCATACAAAATGCCATGGAAGCCATTACAATGCCCAGACTGATTTGAAGTTCACTAAAGACAAACGAATGCATCACTTTCTAAACCATCTTCATACGCTTTCGCTTTGAATTTGCAAAACTTATGGCACTGGTAACCTGATAGATGCTTCCCTTGCATACACTTTAAAGTCCCTTCGGCCATAACAAATCTGCACCTGAAATGTTTGCCTGTAGCTAATAGTTATGTGACAAAGTGAAAATGATTCTTCAGATTTGAGTAACTTAGTTCAGTTATAGATTTTTTAAAATCGATAAACAAGCAATATAATTTTATAAGTTACATCATCAATAAATATAAGATTTACTGCGAATGATTCAAGAGAAGCACCAAACAGCACCTTCCAATTACCAAATATTGAAATACATTTTTGCAAAAACATTTTACACAAAACCTAACAGCAAATTATGTATACTTTTCTTCCTTTGCCTTCTTTCGTGCCAAAAAACGATCCTTAGCTGCAGCAAGAGCATCACCACTTCTTTTATGATGAGCAGCAGGTTTTGGTTGATCAGCGGTTTCATCTACAGCAGGAGGTCCATCTTCAACTGCTGGTCCATTTATGGCTTTTCCTTCGGACGATATTGTGATAGAAGTAGGCCTTGTCTCTGCCTGTAGAGATTCCTCCACCTGTTCTGTCTTCATCATTCCAGACATATTTGGAGACTCTGAGCTTGAGGGTTGGATAAAAGTCTCTTTTTGCGGTTGAACTGCGACCTCTTCATGCGGCTTCTTGGTCTTGTCTGTCTTTGACCCTCCTTCTCCCCCAAAAGCAACATTCCTTGCAAGGTTGAAGTAAAAGTCACTTATGTCCGCCTTCTTTGTTACGTCATCCTTTGCTTCACGTAGCTCGCGAAGACGCTCTTCATGCAGCCACTTTTCCTGTTCTTGGAGTTTCTTCTTGTATGCACTTGTGAGAAATTTCTCCTTGTCAGCATACAGATGGTCATCTTTGCTTCTCTCTTTGGCAAGTTTCCTCTCATACACTATCTCATGTTCACGTTCCCTTTGCTTGGCTTTCTCCATCAGTTGGCGGATATATTTTGGCTTCCTCTCCTCAAGGTCTTGTGCATGAGGTTGAACAGCCTTCATTTTCATGCTGTCATATACTCCATCATAATCAAATACTGATGGATCCTCTTCTAGAGCTTTCTTATGCTGCTCCTCAATATCTTTCAGAGCCTTGTTCTTGGAAGCTTGGCGAGAAATCTCTTTCTCAACATCATCATCATTCCCGTCACCAAAACCAAGTGCAGTGGGGAGCGGAGGTCTTGTTGGTTGTTTCTTCTTCTGTGAAGGTGGAACTCTAAGCTGTAATCCATAACCTGACTTTTTCATCATCTTTAAATGCCCTGCAATTTCAGTGCTTCAGTAAAATAGTTGTTTTCCACCAGTACGTAACGTCGTAACCCTTAAACATTTCAACTGCTAATTAGTTATTACTATGTTGAGCCATAGACTAGCACTGGTTCTACTCCGTATTATATGTGTGCCCCGTTTTATATTCAATAAAACTTACAACACTCACATCATTCCATAGTATATTCAAAACTGACAAAACTAAAACAAAACAAAAAGAAGATTTAGAGCTTGATTCAGTCCCTACAGATGCTAATGAAAGGCACATTTTAAAGATTGAAAACAAAGTAAAATCGTCCCTTAAAGTGATTTTTAATGCATTATCCTAAATTCAGTGACTTTCGAGGTAAGAACCATAGAAGACAAGTTAAACAACAAGTGGAGCCAAAGATAAAGTGGTGGAGGCTTGAGGGAGATCTTCAACAAAGCTTTACACACAAAATGGTCGGTGAAGATGTATGGCGTATTGATAATGAAACACATGTGGATGATGTGTGGTTATCAATGGAGTTGACCATTATTAACAAAGTGGCAAAGGAGGTACTTGGAGAATCTAAAGGATGTCGGCCACCTAAAAAGGACACATCTTGGTGGAATGATGAGGTGAAACAAGCCATAATGAACAAAAGAGACTGCTACAAAAAGTTGGGGACAAATTGGAGTGATGAGAACATAGAAGCATACAGGGAGGCTAAAAGACAAGCAAAGAAAGTCGTAAGGGAAGCACGAGGGAAAGTGAACAAGGAGTTGTATGAAAAGTTGGACTCTAAAGAAGGAGAACTAGATATTTATAGACTTGCTCGTTTTCGTGATCGCAGAACTCAAGATATTGCAAAAGTTAAGTGTGTGAAGGATGTTGATCAGAGGATATTAATGGACGACGGAGAGATAAAGAGAGGTGGAGGTCATACTTTGATACACTATTCAACGGGAACAAAACGCAAGATATCGGCGATTTGTCCATACCAGATTGTATGGTAAACCGTGATTTTGTGAGAAGGATCCAAACAACGGAAGATAAAGAAGCTTTGAGGAAGATGGGACGGAAAAGAGCAATGGGGCCAGATGGCATACCGATCGAGGCTTGGAGAAGTTTGGGAGAGAGAGGCGTCGAGTGGTTAACAAGTTTCTTCAACATGATTTGGAGAAACAACAAGATGCCAACGAGTTGGAGGAAGAGTACTCTTATCCCCTTATTTAAGAATAAAGGTGATGTACAAGAATGTGCCAACTATCGAGGGATTAAGCTTATGAGTCACACCATGAAACTTTGGGAACGAGTGATTGAGCAAAGACTTCGAAGGACTGTGAAGATTTCAGAGAATCAATTCGGTTTTATGCCTGGTCGCTCAACAACTGAGGCCATTAACCTTCTTCGACAACTTATGGAGAAGTATAGAGATGCTCATAAGGATCTGCATTTGGTGTTCATTGACTTAGAAAAGGCATATGATAGGGTACCTCGAGAAGTTCTTTGGTGGGCCTTAACTAGGAAAGGCATATCACGCAAGTATATCAGCATCATCATGGATATGTATGAGGATTGTACTACAAGTGTTCGTACTAGTGTAGGGAGGACTGAAGAGTTCCCTATTACTATCGGAGTGCACCAAGGATCGGCCTTGAGTCCTTTCTTATTTGCCATAGTCATGGATGAACTTACGAAGCCAATTCAAGACAATATACCGTGGTGCATGATGTTTGCCGACGATATTGTATTGATTGATGAGACGCAATGTCGCAATCAGATCTTAAAGCAAAGTTGGAAGTATGGCGACAAACATTGGAGAATAAGGGTTTCAAACTAAGTCAGAGCAAGACAGAGTACATGGAGTGCAAGTTTAGTGGAGGTAGAAGTAGTGGTAATAGCGGAATTACTCTGGATGGTAAGGAGATACCAGTCTGCAATATATTCCGTTACTAGGGCTCCATAATTCAGAAGGACGGTGAGTTAGATGGAGATGTATCCCATAGAATCAGAACAGGGTGGATGAAGTGGAAGAGTGCGTCAGGATTTCTATGCGACCGAGGTATGCCGACTAGGGATGGACTCGGGCCGGGTGGCCCGACCCGGAACCGGCCCGGGACCGGCACTGTTCCGGCCCGGCCCGACCCGGTGGCCCGGTCAGTGACCGATCCGGGTAGGCCTGGCCCGTGGGTTTTCCGGTCCGGGCTCGGGTCACCCAAAACAAGGCCCGGGCCCTGTTCGGGCCCAATTTTTTTTTTTTTGTTTTTTCAATTTTTTTTAACTTTTCGGGTTGGGCTGGGTATTTTGGGCCATTTGGGGTGGTTTGGGGGGTTGGGGGTGGGAGGGGGGTTAATTAGGAAGAGGAAAACAAAAAAAAAAATATATAATGGGTTTGGCCCGGCCCGGCCCCGGACCGGACCCGGTGGTTACCCGGGCCGGTCCCGGGTCCACCATTTCTGACCCGCCGGCCCGCCCGGGTCTAGGCCCGACCCGGACCCGGCCCGGACCCGAGTCCAACCCTAATGCCGACTAGACTGAAGGGTAAATTTTATAGGACAGCAATTAGGCCTGCATTACTGTATGGCGTAGAGTGTTGGGCGGTGAAACAATGTCACATTCAAAAGATGAGTGTGGCAGAGATGCGCATGCTGCGTTGGATGTGTGGGCATACTACGAAGGACCGCGTGAGGAATGAGACAATCAGACAAAGGGTGGGAGTAGCATCTATTGAAGACAAGATGCGGGAGTCGCGCCTACGGTGGTTTGGTCATGTGCGTAGAAGACCGAGTGATGCACTTGTTAGGCGAGTTGAGATGTGTGGAGAAGATGCAGGGAAGAGAGGGAGAGGAAGACCCAAACAGACGTGGGTTAGGGGAGTTCGAAGTGATATGCTTCTTCTGGAGTTGGATGAGGGCGTAACTTTGGAGAGAACTAAGTGGAGGGCGGGTATTCACGTGAAGGAGTGATCTTGATAATCTTTTTCCCTCTCTCTCTTTTTTTCCTAGTTTTTTTTATCCTTATATATATATATAAGCATTATTTGCAGCCTTTTTATTTTTATCATTTTTAAATATATTCATCTTTTTTTATATTATCTTTTCATAATAGCTTATCTTTTTATTTTTATTCCTTCTTTTCCTTTTGGTTGTGATATCATGTATCGATTCATGTTAGCCGACCCCAATATCTTTTGGGACTAAGGCTTGGATGTTGTTGTTATTGTTGTATCCTAAATTCAAATACATATTCATATCCATAAGTTACAGAAACCTCTTAGCTATGTCACAGGATACTATTATCACATTGTCACATACCATCTCTGTCCCACAAAGGTACTCACTCATTTCCTTTTCATTCTGTCTCAATATGAGGTTCTTTTTTAATAGTTGTTTGATTCATGTTATTTCTCTCTACTACACATATCTATTACGGAGTAATAGATAAAAGGGAAAGAAATTTCCTATAGTGTTCCTGCCGAAGGAACTCCACGGGAATAAATGCACCTTATCCTAGAGAAAAAATTCCACAAAATATGAAAAATAATGTACAACAAAAATAACATTCTGTGGGGCAGAACTAGAGTTTCAATCCAGGCGGGGCCAAAGTTTTTGCGTATATGTATAATAACTTACTTTCTATCACGCTGCCCTCGTATTTTTCCGGAGACTTCACGCAGACATGGCAGCGGAGGGAGAGGAGCAGCCGTTGAAATACATAGAAAAGGTTGTGCTGAAGAAGAGGGGTAACAATGAGGAGTGGGCCATACGAAGGAAGCTTCAGCTGGAGCAGAAAGTCAGGAAGCTCAAATCTGATAGCTTTATCATCAAGAAGCCCGAACACTTCATTAAAGAATTTCGATACAAGGAGCTTGACCTGCTTATTGTCATACGTATTGGAGGGAAAAATGATATGCATCCGAAAACACGAAAATATTTATACTCATTGAGGCTGGGGAGAGTATTTGATGGGGTATTTTTAAAGGTTGCAGAAAGAACATTAAGAATTTTGCGAAGTTGGAGCCTTACATCACATATGGATACCCTAATCTCAAGAGCGTGAAGGATCGGATTTTCAAGAAAGGGACTGGAAAAGTTGGCAAACATAGAGTGCCTTTGACAGACAATAACATCATTTAAGAGGCATTGGATCAACATGGCATAATATGCTTAGAAGACATAATTATTGAGATTGCTAATGTTGGACCTCAATTCAAGGATGTAAGTAGCTTTCTATACCCCTTCCTTCTGAACAAGCCAAAAAAAGCATTGCAAGCAAAGAAGAAACGATATTCAGATGGGGGAGACTGTGGAAACCTTGAATGTCATATCAATGAGTTAATCAGTAAGATGAATTAGCATCAGCTGCGGTCTTTGTATGAGCTATCATATTTTGTTAAATGCAACATACACTTGTTATATCTCATTCCTTGAGAAATGCATGACCTTAAATTTATATTGTTGAATAATTTCTCCAATTTTCAGTTAAAAAAAATACATATATATAATAACTTCAATGCCATAAAAACAGTAAAATACAAAAAAAATACAAATGTTTAACAAGAATAATAGTTTACAAAAGATTACATATGTTTTACAAATAATTCATAATTCTTCTTTACGGGTTTTTTATCGGTGATTTGTCCATACCAGATTGTACGGTAAATCACGATTTTGTGAGAAGGATCCAAACAACGGAAGTTAAAGAAGCTCTGAGGAAGATGGGACGGAAGAAAGCAGTGGGTCCGGATGACATACCGATCGAGGCTTGGACAAGTTTGGGGGAGAGAGGCGTCGAGTGGTTAACAAGTTTCTTCAACATGATTTGGAGAAACAACAAGATGTCAACGAGTTGGAGGAAGAGTACTCTTATCCCCTTATTTAAGAATAAAGGTGATGTACAAGAATGTGCCAACTATCGAGGGATTAAGCTTATGAATCACACCATGAAACTTTGGGAGCGAGTGATTGAGCAAAGACTTCGAAGAACTGTGAAGATTTCAGAGAATCAATTCGGTTTTATGCCTGGTCGCTCAACAATTGAGGCCATTCACCTTCTTCGGCAACTTATGGAGAAGTATAGAGACGCTCATAAGGATCTGCATTTGGTGTTCATTGACTAAGAAAAGGCATATGATAGGGTACCTCGAGAATTGCTTTGGTGGGCCTTAACTAGAAAAGGCATATCACGCAAGTATATCAGCATCATCATGGATATTTATGAGGATTGTACTACAAGTGTCCGTACTAGTGTAGGGAGGACTGAAGAGTTCCCTATTACTATCGGAGTGCACCAAGGATAAGCTCTAAGCCCTTTCTTATTTGCCATAGTCATGGATGAACTTATGAAGTCAATTCAAGATGATATACCGTGGTGCATGATGTTTGCCGACGATATTGTATTGATTGATGAGACACAATCAGGTCTTAAAGCAAAGTTGGAAGTATGGCGACAAACATTGGAGAATAAGGGTTTCAAACTAAGTCGAAGCAAGACAGAGTACATGGAGTGCAAGTTTGGTGGAGGTAGAAGCAGTGGTAATAGCGGAATTACTCTGGATGGTAAGGAGATACCAGTCAACGATATGTTCCGTTACTTGGGCTCCATAATTCAGAAGGACGGTGAGTTTGATGGGGATGTATCTCATAGAATCAGAATAGGGTGAATGAAGTGGAAGAGTGCGTCAGGATTTCTATGCGATCGAGGTATGCCGACTAGACTGAAGGGTAAATTTTATAGGACAATAATTAGGCCTGCATTACTGTATGGCATAGAGTGTTGGGCGGTGAAACAATGTCACATTCAAAAGATGAGTGTGGCAGAGATGCGCATGGTGCGTTGGATGTGTGGGCATACTAGGAAGGACCGCGTGAGGAATGAGACAATCAGACAAATGGTGGGAGTAGCACCTATTGAAGACAAGATGCGGGAGTCACGCCTACGGTGGTTTGGTCATGTGCGTAGAAGACCGAGTGATGCACCTGTCAGACGAGTTGAGATGTGTGGAGAAGATGCAGGGAAGAGAGGGAGAGGAAGACCCAAACAGACCTGGGTTAGGGGAGTTCGAAGTGATATGCTTCTTCTGAGGTTGGATGAGGGCATGACTGTGGAGAAAGCTAAGTGGAGGGTGGGTATTCGTGTGGAGGAGTGATCTCGTATCATCTTTTCCCCTTATCTTTTTCCTTGTTTTTATCCTTATATATATATATATATATATAAACATTATGTGTATCCTTTTTATTTTATCATTTTTATGTATATTCATCTCTTTTTATATTATCTTTTTATCATAGCTTATCTTTTTTTTTCTTTTTTTCTTTCTTTTCCTTTTGGTGGTGATATCATGTATCGATTCATGTTAGCCGACCCCAATATCTTTTGGAACTAAGGCTTGGATGTTGTTGATAACGCCTGATAATGACACCACTGTCAATTTTCAAGAAGATCTCTTTTTCAAGAAGATACCTTTTTCTCTATGCGTTTACATAATCACATTTGACGTTTCTTCAACTAGATCTACTAGAGGTCACTACAAATACTAAGTGAAATATCTTTGTCAGCTTCTACTTCAATTGATTTATAGACTTATAGTATCTCTTCAAACTTACCTTCATTTGCTTTTTTTAATCTACAACAATCCTTAACATCATATGATAAGTTAGAAAATAGAAATAAGGTCCTCACAAGAAAAGAATTAATATTCATAGACACAAATTAGTGAATCACAATCATAATATAAATTGCCTGAAAATAATCAACACAAATCACAATCAATTTACTGAAAATTACATATCAGGAAATTGATTTATGATAGAAAACTTTATAAGAATGCAATGTTAAGGAAATTCCTAGCACGTCTTAACCAGTAGTCACTAGTCTCACTACAATTGAGGTCGAACAGCTAGGCAGATGCATTTGGGTTTGCTATGAATTTGAGGTATCAAAACACGGAAATAAATCTTTTGCGTATTTATCCGGAAAAAACAAATTTTATCGTCCTAAATTTCACTAACTGAAATTTCAGAAAACTACAATTTACTAATTCAACAAGGAAATGGTAAATTCGTAATTGAATCTGATTTTTTATGAAACACATATCAGATAACATCACTAATTGAATCCGGAAGTATCTATATTGAACCAACTCTGGAATTTAATTTTTAATTTAGGTTTACCTAGCTGAGTGGTGAGTCGGAAAGACAGAAATCAGAAGTTTTTTCCCGGCGCGCAGGTGGGGCAGAAGCAGAGCAGCGCGCGGTAGCCGGTGGTGGCTCGCGGGGTGCAACGGACACTGGTAGCTGGCGCAGACTTGCTTTTGAAGAAGACTGGTCGCCTCGTCAACCGTGATGAACGGTTGAAGAAGAGATGACGAGAGACGATTTGTTCGAATGATTCATGCTGGTGTTACGATTTGGGCCTGACCGGTATGCACTACCCTTTAGTTTTAGGAATTATTTTTTGTGTGGGCCTTGTTTTAGTTACTACATACTTGTATAAAATCTGGTTCTGGACTCTGGAGTACTACTCTTCTCTTTTGGCAAAATCTAAATGCAGCTCCTATTTACTAAGTATAGTCCCTGATTAAAATTAATTAAATAAATTTAAATAAAATAACTATTATATCCCTGTTGTTTATCTTAACATCATTCGCAATCACATTTTTTCCCACGAGCTTTTAAATGTTGACGATGATGTGATTGCTTTCAAACATGTTGACTTCGGCTGTGTTTGCCGTGAGATTATGAAAAGCTTGATGTTCTTCTTAACGATTTTCGCCACATCATCCGTTGGCACGCCCACCTGCTGGATTTTGACAATTGGTTGTTGAATGTTACCTGTTGGATGATTGTGTTGATTGATTGATAATGACAAATTTTGTTGATTGTTTTGATTAGCTGATCATATTAGCGCATTGTAAAATAGTGTTTGACTAATAACTTGTTAAATGTCTATTGAGGACTTCAATTATTATTGTGTTGATTGATTGAAAATGACAATTTACAACTAGCTAATAACTTATTAAATGACTCTTGAGGACTTCAATTATTATTTTTAATACAATGAGTACAATTACTCAAACAATTTCAAAGATTTAAAAACGTAAAATCTATTAACACATGTAATAATTATCCAATATTTTAAATATTGATTTTCATGAAATAAAAATTTGAATTTGTTGATATTTTGATTAATAATTGGAATTATAAAAAACATATACCAAAAGAGTTGTATAACCAAAATGATAAATGTATTTAAATATGAATCTCAACATAATTAAAAAATACTAATGACCACTTTGACTTCATCCTCCTAACGCAATACATACAAATTGAAAATGGAGTATTTTTTGTGTGTTGTTAGTATCTTATATGGAGTATATAACAGAGCTTATTAAAGTAATATTACACATTTTTTCAAATTTTAAGACCATTCGGTTCTTAAGTTTTTTAAGAACACCTCTGCCTGCCCCGTTAGATTTTATAAAATTAGGACCTGAGCCTAACAATCCTTGTCCCTTTTCGGTTTTTTAAAAAAAGGAACCAGCCACCCCTAATACACACATACACATTCAATTTAATTTAATTAGGGAAATTTACTATTAATCCCCTGAGATTATGTCATAATTATTAATGCAACCTTGCATTTTTCAAAAATCAATTAGTTATCCTCCGAGTTTGGATCATTCTCATTCTTTGCCCCCTCACGTTAATATTTGTTAAATTTAAATTTAATATAATTCTTAAATTCAATGAAAATGTCTATAAAATAAATTTTTAATGTAAAACAAAAATTATTATCATAATTATAAGTCATTGTTATTGGTCGTTATGTTTCTACTTAGCTACTCCATCGTAGAATAAATACTATTGAGAGGAATTAAGACAAAATACTCACGAGTAAAATATAAAAATTATCATGAATTTTTAATATTTTTATTTTAAAAAATTAAATATCATTTAATCTTATAAAAGTAATAAACTTTTTACAATCACAAAAACTTTTGTGAAGATATAATCATCACAAATTAGTAACAGAGTTAATAAAATTTTTAAATAAATTAAAATCTATGATATTTTAGGTCTTAGATTGATAGCTTTCAATTATTCAGATCATAGAATAATTGGAATAATCATCACAAATTTTATCTTTTAGGTCCCTTATTGATACTAAACCTATCTTTTAGATCATGGAATGATAAAAAAAATCTTGGTATTTCTTGTTTGCTATACACAAAGAAACGTCATTGCGATTAATTCAACCAAATGAATTACAAATAAGATTTTTATATTCATAATGAAGAAGTGCCTAGAATTTTGATAACACGTTTTATAAACAATTCTTTTTATGTATCCCATTAAAATATGACTCGTGAGTCTTCCAAACTCTTCCTCTTAACTACTCTCATTAGTAGTTACTCCACGATCGAGTAGTTAAGTAAAAAAACTAATGATCATCAACAATGACTTATAATTATTATGATAAATTGTTTTGTATTTTAAAACTTAATTTTATATACAACTTTCATTGAATTTAAGAAGTATATTAAATTTGATTTAACAAATATTAACATGGGGGGTATGCAGTGACATGCCCGGTCCTGACATTTTGGAGACCCGAGACGTATTATAAAAAGGGCCCTCAAAATTATTAATCCTTATACAAATTTTATTATAAAAGCAAAGTTTAACACACACAAATTTTATTTCAAAAAAAAAAAAACAAACACACACAAATCTTTTTGTAAAATCGTCTACAACACCTTCAAGGTGGAAGCACAAGAGTACAACGAATATAGCATGCGTATAAAGATATTAGTTTAGTAACGCGCGTTGCGCGTTCGTGGTAATGCCCAAGACTATTGTAGGAGCATTAGTTTCTCAGTTTAGGTTGAGTGAATAAATGAATAACAAGTATCACTCACCATCCAGCTAGGGGTGGACTAGGGCCGGGTGGCCCGACCCGGAACCGGCCCGGGACCGGTACTGTTCCGGCCCGGCCCGAGACCGGTACTGTTCTGGCCCGGCCCGAGACCGGTACTGTTCTGGCCCGGCCCGACCCGGTGGCCCGATCAGTGACCGGTCCGGGTAGGCCCGACCCGTGGGTTTTCCGGTCCGGGCTCGGGTCATCCAAAACGAGGCCCGGCCCGACCCTGGCCCAGTTCGGGCCAAAATTGATTTTTTTTTCAATTTTTTTTATATTTTCGGGTTGGGCTGGGTATTTTGGACCATTTGGGGTGGTTTGGGGTGGGAGGGGGGTTAATTAGGAAGAGGGAAAAAATGATAATAGGCCCGACCCGGCCCGGACCCGATGGGTACCTGGGCCGGTCTCGAGCCCATCTGTTCAGAACCGGCGGCCCGGCCGGGCCTAAGCCTGACCCGAGTCCAAGTCTGCATCCAGCATCACCAACAAGCTTTACTCTTAATTTAGATATATAAAACTAACAGAAGTGAGTAAAAACAAAATGATGGAGTAACACTAAAAAATTTAAAAAATTAAAAGCCTTGAACCACGAAAATATTCAGAAGTATAATGTACAGCTAACAGCCTAACATCAAGCTCAGGTGATCAGACATTCCTTGAAAAAAGCAAAAAAAAAAAAGAAAATATACAAGATATATAAAAAATTTCTAATAAACCATAGAAGAGGTGTTTGTTCATGCGCCTAGATCACACAAGTTGAGAGTTTAGCAACTGGGTATAAATATGAGGGGGAAAAGAGGAGGATGGGAAATGAAATATCACCACCATGGAAACATCAATCACTTAAAGATCCATCATCATCTTCACGCTCTTTTATGGCCCTCTCAAGAAACTTCTTCCTGATTCCATCCAGAACAGTTTCTCTTGATTGTTCCCTGCCATGTCCATCATTCAGCACAGGATCTGACTGGCATAGAACTAAGGCCACACCTATTCATGTAACAACACATTACCATATTACCACAGAAGAAGCAATATCAGGACATCATATTCCACGTTCTGCAAAATTTATTCTAGTGATTGAACCTTTTTGTTTCCCTTGTCAACAAAACTACATTGAAGAACCGTTGATGAATAGATATTTTAATTGAAAGTATTTCAATAAGATTGCTGATCTAAAAAGAAGAATCATAAAAATGATAGTAATAATAATGATATGATAGTAATGTAAAACATAAATAGGATTACATACTACATGATGGCACAACTATTAAAAGATAACTTAGCATCCCAAAATCACAGAAAGAAAACATACTTTCAGGAGTGCATCTCCGACCAAAGCTGTGTGTTCCCACATAAGTTGCCTTAACAGCAGTATTTTCGTAAACCAGAATAGTTGGCAGATTACGGTCTGGATAGTTTGGAATGCACTCTGTCGATATAATCTTCACAAACTTTGTTGCAGGGTACCTTTTAGCCAAATCTTCCAGACATTGCAAAAGCATCCTGCACTCTGGGTATCTGTAATAAAAAGCTAACCAGGTTGAATGAAATTCTGAGCATTGTTATTAGTTTCCTTATAACTCAAAGGATAGAGCTGAATGACTATAATATAGCCCAATAGTTTCTTTTCTCTTTCATTTTTTGTAGCAAATGGCAGTACTTTAACTTTGAAATGCATTGGCTGTCAAATTTTGTACATTAATGGACCTTATCTGCCATTTAATACAGGGTATTACGAAAATGCAATTTCTAACCACAAATTCATGTCTGAGTTATAGCCATAAGCCCATAAGGATTTAATGTAAATACAGAGTCCAAGACAAAAGTAAAAACTACAAACTGCTCACCCATCTTTATAGAGCATCACCACAACCCAAATGTCTTGAGGAGCTTGTGAGACTTCACGAACAAAGTCAGATCCTGAAATTGGAATAACTGAACCAAACTTTGCTATCTTAGCTGCTTCTCTTATCTCAGTTAACCGCTTCTTCCTATCACAAAGAAATTGCAAGAAAACCTATTACTACCATTATCTCAATTCAAATTATGGCATCAAGTTCAGTTATCTTTTGAAAGTGAATAAAGGAGATGCATTTGTTTAAATATACATAAAGTTGAAATGAATGTAAAGAAAGATCTGTATGAGAGGAAATGAATGAAGGAAACGACTCGTGCATTTGCTTATTCTACCATAACCCAATCAGAGAAAAAACAAATCTTTCATATAGAATATAAGCATCCCTCTTCTTCCAGGCAGCTTAAAGAAAAATTAAGTTAGCTGACAGGCGATCTCTCAAAATCATGAGAACCCTACCCTCTCAAGGGATTGAAAACATCAAATTAGGTTTTTAGAGGAGTAATCAGGTGAAATATTCATAATGCCTAGTTAAATATTGCACTAAAATCAAATTTCAAATGAATTTCATCTGAATCAGTTTTGCATAAATCAGTTTTCTAAAGCCAGTTCTCAGCAACGAAAATTCAGCGCATAGATTCAACACTCTACCTATATTCTTCGAGAAATCGATCTTCGTCGAGATCATCTTCTTCGAGATCTTCAAGCTCTTCCTCTGTTTTTTGGTCGATCCAGGCCTTGTCTTTGGGCTTAGAGTCATCATCCTCGGCAGGCGTGAAACCTGGTGGCTTGAACGGCGGCGATTTTGGCGGGAGATTTCCAAGTTTCCTCTGTATATCGTCCCATTGTGTTGAGGATCCCTCCAAATCCTTGTATACAAAGTGGTAATCCGCCATTCCACGGTTTTCACAGTTCTCAACTCAGCGAGCTTAACCGTAAACTCCGCACTACAGTGTACTTCTTATATTTTATCGCAGCTTCTCCTGTCCACCGGAAATGAAAGATGGATATCAGAGCCCAGAATTGATTTTTATTATTAATAAAAGAAGTAACAACAGATAATAACAGCAATTATGTAGGTTAATATAGAATCGGATATCAATACATTATTTGAATACATAGTTTGTTATTACAGAATGAACTTTATGAAGGGAACATAAAAAAACAATTACATTGAAGTAAGCATATTCAAGACAATAATTAACAAATTAGGAGGATATGTAAATCATTCGAATAGAGAAAAGAACTCACATGAGTGCGACCAAAGAAGTGGAAAACCGTTTCAGCATCTGAAGCAAATTAGTTATAATCGGTAGGTCTACAACCATTGAGGGTCTAAAGGGGAACGAAAGAGGTGTTAGAGGAAAGAAGGTGATGTTAAAGAGCATTGGCGAGAAGGAAATAAAAGAAATGGATACTAAAGAATAACTCAGTTCTAAGGAAGTTGAAATGGGAAGTAAAGGAGGAGGAAATCAGTCACACATACACTAAGAATGAATAACTTATTGCCGTTAAAACCAAAACTTTAATAAAGTTAAAAGTACAAGAAACCATACATGGTGTACAATAACTTTGTGCATCAAGAGACACCAACACTTTTTCTATTACCGTTTACCCCTTACAATATTCACTCTTACAATATTGTAGAGACTTAAATGGCGATAACCACTTCACTAATTGTTGGGTATTGATTCAATAATACCGCAATGATCTAGGAGCTATTGGTTCAATAATACTCCAATGCTTTTTCCAGCTAAAAAACTTAACAATATTGATAAACATACCATCCCTCTCAAACTCTAAAGCACACAATATTATGCTTTTAATGAGTCACTTATATGGCAATTATCACTTTACTAACTGTTGGAGTATTGGTTCAATAATACCGCAATTATCTAAGAGTTAAATTTGGAAATCAAGCGGTTCGGGTAGCATTGGAAACATGGCTAGGCTTTGGATAGACTACTGGAACTCGGTAAGATCTTTCCAACGAGATATTAAACGCTTTTAACTCAACAAAATAGAGCAAGATATGATCGCATCAAATTCTACACGATTCGGAGTTAAATCAGAAGCATGTGTGAATTTATGGTTAATCTTTAACTTTTAATTAATGCATTGTAAATGAAGTTGGAACAATAGCTTTAGAGCTCCAAATTATCTTTCCAACGAGATATAATACGCTCAAAACGGAAGAACACACAGCAAGATATGAGTGTCACAAATACTTAGCCCTATCTCTATGATTTAGCGTTTTAAGCGTAAATAGAGCACTTTTAGCGTTTTCACAAATACCTTCATTTGCTTTTTTTAATCTACAACAATCCTTAACATCATATGATAAGTTAGAAAATAGAAATAAGGTCCTCACAAGTAAAGAATTAATATTCATAGACACAAATTAGTGAATCACAATCATATTATAAACTGCCTGAAAATAATCAACACAAATCACAATCAATTTACTGAAAATTACATATCAGGAAATTGATTTATGATAGAAAACTTTATAAGAATGCCATGTTAAGGAAATTCCTAGCACGTCTTAACCAGTAGTCACTAGTCTCACTACAATTGAGGTCGAACAGCTAGGCAGATGCATTTGGGTTTGCTATGAATTTGAGGTATCAAAACACGGAAAATAATCTTTTGCGTATTTATCCGGAAAAAAAACAAATTTTATCGTCCTAAATTTCACTAACCGAAATTTCAGAAAACTACAATTTACTAATTCAACAAGGAAATGATAAATTCGTAATTGAATCTGATTTTTTTATGAAACACATATCACATAACATCACTAATTGAATCCGGAAGTATCTATATTGAACCAACTCTGGAATTTAATTTTTAATTTAGGTTTACCTAGCTGAGTGGTGAGTCGGAAAGACAGAAATCAGAAGTTTTTCCCGGCGCGCAGGTGGAGCAGAAGCAGGGCAGCGCGCGGTAGCCGGTGGTGGCTCGCGGGGTACAACGGACACTGGTAGCTGGCGCAGACTTGCTTTTGAAGAAGACTGATCGCCTCGTCAACCGTGCTGAACGGTTGAAGAAGAGATGAGAGACGATTTGTTCGAATGATTCATGCTGGTGTTAGACGATTTGGGCCTGACCGGTATGCACTGCCCTTTAGTTTTAGGAATTATTTTTTGTGTGGGCCTTGTTTTACTACATACTTGTATAAAATCTGGTTCTGGAGTAGGTCCGGGACTTGGAACCGCAAACCCGGGAAAACCGATCTGAATCGAACCGAATTTTCCGGTTTGGTTCGGTTCTTATAACTTTGGACTTCATCTTTTTTCTGTTCGGTTCCTATAGTATATGATCGGTTCGATTCCGGTTCGGTTCTAGTTCGGTTCCGGTTCCTAGGCAAGAACCGGACTTCTTATACATTGCATGAGTAATCTTCATTTGAGGTGCTTCTAGGTGGAATTTTTTGATAAAATTTTGTGAGCTTGTTTTCAATGGAATGAAGATTATGTCCACTAAATTTTAGCTTAAAATTCAATCGGAAAATTATTTAAATAAATTATTGAAAAACACTACGTCAAAATATATATATAAAACACAATGTTTTTCAATATTTTATTTGACTCACTTCCCGATTATATTTTTAGCTGAAATTTTGTGGATGTAATCTACACTACATGTAGAACATTCTCACAAAATATCTTCAAAAAATTCTTCCCGGAAGCACCTCAAATGAAGGTGACTAGACGATGCTCCGAGCAGAAAATTCTTTTCAGGAATATTTGTCTTGCATAATATAACTTATATATTATGGACTATGCCAATTCCAGTAGTAGTTATTTTGAGTTTTTTTCGAATTAATGTTAATTAATTAATTAATTACAAAAATAATGCTGGAAAAAAAATATTTACCGATCTACTGTTGGGTTTAACCATGGTCAGGGAAAGTCGCCAAACGGTTGGGCGACTTTCCCCTTCCATATGAACGCAAACCAATAGCTACTGCCAGCCACGCATGATCGTGCCTAATTCCGAAAACAGAATTTCATCAGTTTTTTTGCCCCAGTTCAACCCAGACTCATCTTTTTGCTATAAATAAGGTCTCCCTTCTCCTGTTTAAGTGTTACGAGCCAGATACAACACATTATAAAACATACAACACACATGTTCATAAACACATACATAATCACATACAACACACTAGTAAAACACAGTACAATCATCAAACATTCATAACAATTAATCATCTAATATTCATACTCGAACACATAAATACAACATACAAGAGAAAATACGTAAAATGTTGTAAATTGTTCCTACAACATCTAAAATTTTGTAAATTATCTAAAATGTTGTACAAGAAAAACTGCAATACAAAAGACAAAGTAGAAGTTGTCATGGTCATCTTGATCACTCGGCCTAGGATCCGCTGTCACCTGCATGCCTACAAACAAACAAAATCGTATTAGTTAATTTTTACTATTATACTAATTCTTTTTTTAATCATCTATTTTATTAATAATATGTTTTCATGCAACGCTGAGATGAATTGTGAATTACTATAATTAACACCTTACCCACTGGACCCCCCATCGTGTCTTGATGATCTCTTCGCACATGTGGCCCTATTATGGCCGGTTTGGTGACATTTTCCACATCTAACCGTTCCTCGGGGACCTTCATCCATCTCATTCTTAATATGTGTCGACTTAGGTCTTCCCTTAGCCCGAAACATGGATGGATCGTGCACGATTTCAGGTCCATTGTAAGTAGGCCAATAATCACGATCAGGAATGGGTTTGAAGACTATGATATGTGGCCGCGTATTGGTCAGATGAGAAAAACTTATCCACAAATGGAGCATAAGACAAGCTACGTTGTCTGCACACGGCTAACACATGGGAGCATGGAATCTTTTATATCTCCATCTTTTTACAAGTGCAAGTTTTCCGTTTCACATGGACAGTTTGTTTTCTCCCACCCTTCCCCAACGTTCGGCCACCACAACCGGATTCCACTTGAAATACACTATCGGCCTAAATCAAATGGAGTGACAATGTGATGCTTGGACTTCTCCCTATTCTTATCAATTAAATCTTTGATGTATGGGGAGTACTCGTGACCTTCTGTCACTCTCATCTTACTGGTTTCACGTCTATTAACAAAATAAGCATTAACCCGATAAAAGGAAACTTGGACCAAAGCGGTGATGGGCAAATATCTAGCATTTTTCATCACGCTATTGAAAACCTCTGCCAGATTACAAGTGATGGTACAGTATCTGTACCCGTGATAAGTCCATTTTTTACTTATTTTTTTTATCAAATTTAAGTGATTTTGGATTGAAAAATAGAAAAACCAGGCATGTTTTATATATTTTGGTTCAAGTTTCGTGAAATCAGGTAAAAAATCACGTTCATGATATGTTTGATGAAATTTTGGATCAATTAAGCACACAATGAGTCATTTTGAGTGAAAAAGATATCATACCGAAAGAAGGAAGCAGAATTTCAAAGTGGTCCAGAAGGGAAAGTTGAAGAGCACAAAATACAGAACAAGACAGACAAAAAATCTCACAGGCGCCCAAATAGGTGCCCAGATTGGCCGCCTTCCAGGTCGCCTACGCTATTTTTGGAAAGTCAGCATTTTGGAATTTTTGACCGGACCGGAGAAGACCGAAGGCTGCCGACACTAGACAGAAGGCGGCCGCCTTCGGTGACCGCCTGTGGCACAAGGCGACAAACCAACCACCGGCCGGTGGGATTTGACAGCAGGCGGCCAGACAGGAACGGCAGGCGGCCACCTGCTGGACCGCCTGCGGTGGATGAATGGACCGCGCACGTTCGACTGCCGGTGATGGGACGGAAGGCGGCCGGAGCAAGGCGGCAGGCGGCCGCCTGGTTGGCCGCCTACGGTATTTTTGCGGATATAAATAGCCCGATTTTTTCTCATCCCAAACACACATCTTCCAACCCTAATTCAGTTCAAAAAGCTTTAGTTCTTCTTCCATTTCCGCAGCTCCAAGGTCTTTTGGGAGAGAGAAACTTCAAATCTTCATATCTTCTTCATTTTAGCTTCAAATTGTAAGTTCTTTATATGTATTTTCATCTTCTCAACGAGTAGAATCTGAATCTGTCCTTTGTTTTCTCGATCTGTTCTTTGAATTTTTCCAGAATATTTATCAAGTAATTCGCATTTTCTTCCAAAAATTAAATAAAATAGTTGTTGATGTTGAATTCATTCCATTTAATTATATAGTTGTTTACTAGCCTCAAGGTTGTTATTTATCTCAATAAAGTTATTTTTCCCAAAGCAGAAGTAATTTTTTATTAATTCCAGTAAGTAGTTGTTATTATTGCATAAATTAAATTAATTACTTAAAAATAGTAAAAAAAATAGTTTCGGCCCTAATTCCAGTTTATTTCACTGTAATATCACCCCCAGTAGTCAATAGAAAATTTAGAACGAATTTAGCCTATTTTTAATTGCCTTTTGTATTTTATAGTTAAAAGTGGGAAAATTATCAATTAGGGTTAAAATTGGATTTTAGGTTTAAAAATTCGTGAAAAATTCCAGAAAGTCATATTGTAGTTCCAGAAAGTTTATTTTGACAAGATCTTTTTTTTTTAATTTTTGCTATTATACATGTTTAATTCCTTGTTAATGGTTAATTTATTTACCATATTGTTGAATGCAAAAATAATGTTTAGTAGCTAAAATTGTTTTGGGCATGAATTGAGTAAAAGAACATGGATTGACTTGTTAGCCGAAAATTAGGGGTTAAAATTAATTAATTGGACTAGTTATTCAAATTGATGAATTAGTAATTAATAATTGTTAGCCATTTTCATTAATTAACTTTTGGAAAATTATTTCTAACTTGTCTATGAGATTAGAAAATAAATTGAGCCAACTTTATTCAAGCACATTAATAAGGCCTAGAAATAGGAAATTTTAATGAAATGGATTTACATCTTGTCTATGAGAAATAAATTCAAATTGCTTAAATAATGAATTTAATTAGTTAATGAATTTGGTTATTTTTATTAATTAAAATATTGGAGAATTATTTCTGTCTTGTCTATGAGATTAGAATTTAATTCAAGCCAACCATTTTTGAATATATTCATGAAACCTAGAAATAGGATAAATTAATGAAAGTAATTTCTATTCTTGTCTATGACAAAAGAAATTATTTAGTCCAATTTTAGTTTTAATTCCCCTAATTACTAGGTTCAAGAATATATCCATTTCCAATTACTCAATTCATTGCCCTTAATTGCCTCAATCTTTTTATTAATCTTTAGAATATTTGATCTTAAATCTTTAGTTGAAATTTGCTCCTAGTATAATTTTGCAATTTGGCCTAGTTTAGAACACAATCACCTTCTTTTGTATTGAAAAAGCTTCCAACAATTAGCGATAGCCCGTGACTAAGACTAAATTAAGAAAACTCCTCCGTCATTCCTCAAGAGACACGATACTCGGGGAAAAACCGAAAGGTTAGACTCCGTTTTACTATAACGTCGCGAAAGCGGTTATCAACCCGCCATCGTGGTGCAATGACCACATTTCCGGGGGAATGTTCCCCAGAAATTGTCGTGCCTCCAAACTCATTTCACCTATCTTCTTGAACCCACCATCAAACTTCTTTTTCTGATGTTGCCGTGCGGTCCAGACAAAAAGATTTTTTAGATGAATGTCTTTGAAATGAGTGTGCACATTCGATGCAAGATGGCGGATACATAGCCTATGATGCGCATAAGGCTCCTCCCAAGTACTGCCCACCTCATTCATTGCCCTGACAATACCTCAATGCCGATCTGAAATGACACACAACTCCCGATTAGTGACAAACTGCCTAATACACGCCATAAACCATGGCCAACTATCCTCATTCTCAGATTCAACAACTGCAAAGGCCACTGGAAATATTTGGTTGTTCGCATCACAACCCATGGCCACAAGCAATGTACCCTTGTACTTTCCATACAAGTGTGTGCCATCAATAGTAAGTACGGGCCGACAATGCTTAAAACCATGTATTGATGGCTTGAATGCCCAAAAAACTCTTTGAAACTGCATATAACATGTGGGAGTATTAGGGGGTGGGTACCACTGCACAATAGTTCCAGGATTTGAATGTTGGAGCACTGTCACGAAACGGGG